ATTCTAAACCTATGCATTATTTAAATCTAAATTAAATGTAAATAAGGTGTATTCATATTAAACTTACACTGTAAGCAATATGAAAAAACAGTATTAGTAATATTTAGTCATTAATCACAAATCATCGGTCAATATTTCATGATTGTGACATGTATCATAGAAACATTTGACAACTGCTATGAACAATATATTCTGACATTTCTTTGCTCTTTGGTTTTCTTAGGGTGTAACCGGGGCTTTGGCAGTCCTCATGAAAGATGCTATCAAACCCACACTGATGCAGACACTGGAGGTGAGACCTCTTCCCTGTTCCTGCACCCCAAATTCTCAGTATCTTTTACACAGTCGCTCGCTTGTGTGCTATTTTTCTTATTCTGTCTCCCACACACATGCACACATAACTGTCCTATCTTGATGGAAACTCCCAAACTTGATACTCTCAGCATTGGTGAAGTGATAGGATATTCACAGAAAACACACACTCATACAGTAACACATACACATCTGGTTTTGGTTTTGGCTCAGTGGGAGTGTATCTCTGTCTTTCACTATCACACCCTGAACGCCACGAGAAAACTGGAAATGAGAAATAGACAGTGGTGAAAAGCCTGATTGTTGGAATGCCTTTCATCTTTATGGCTTTAAAACATGCTAATGACTAGTGATTGATGTTTGGTGTGTACAGGCGTATGTTTTTGCGTGTGAGATAACACAAAAGTTGCAAGTTTGTAGAGAGGGCCACAGAATTGCTTTGTGAAACCTTTCCTGCCTGGTTTCCGGTTTCGCTTGTGAGGAGGAATCCTATCAGAACGAACCAGGCAACAAAGGGTTGTGGGAATATTCTGTTTGTATGGAGCTATAATGTCACTGTTGTGATTGGGATATATGCGAGTGTGTGTGAAAGAGTGAGAGAGGAAGTGTGCGAATGACTGAACAAGAGGACGTGCATGTGTTCACAGATGGATCTAAGCCTGTTTGATATAGACTGAAGATGTGAGATTTATCGAGACTGTTAGGAGAAAATGTGTCTTCAGTAAAGTATGTGTATGACGTTAGCTGCACTTCAGGGACAAAATTGTGCCCAGAATTTGTCTAAATGTAACAACCTTCCTTTAGACATTCAAGGACTTCCCAAATATTTATTCAATTCGCTATAAAAATGTGAAGTGTTTTTTCATTTGTAGGGTTAGTCTGTAGTATTCATAATTTTACTGTTTTATATATATATATATATATATATATATATATATATAT